TACGTCCTTCTTGCTTTTGGGAGGAGGCAAGTCTTGAATAGCCTTGATCTTTGAGGGCTTTATCCATTTCCCGCTGATGATGAAACCCAGCAATTTTCCTATGGAAACTCTGAACGCACATTTCGCAGGGTTCAGCTTCAAATTGTACCTTTGTGGACGTTCGAAGAACTTCCTTATGTCACTTAAATGATCTGTATTCATTTGTAACTTGATGATGATTCCATCCACGTATACTTCAATCTCCTTGTGGATCATATCATGGAAAAGGCCGCCATAGCCCTCATGTAGGTGGCACAAACATTCTTTAGGCCAAATGGCATGACCCTCTAACAGTAAACTCCCCATGGAGTGGTGAATGCTGTCTTCTATGCATCTTATTTGTGCATCAAATCTGGTGGTATCCGACGAATCAATCCACTAACGATTGTAAATCGTGCTTTGCATAGTTGTCAATAAGGATGTAGATATTGGGTAGAGGAAAGTCATCCTTGGACTTGCTTTGTTGAGGTCTCGGTAATCCACATATATTCTAACCCCGTCCTTCTTAGGCACTGGTGCTATTTTGGCCAACCAAGTGAAGTAGTTAGTGACTCTTACCATGTTCGCCTCTATTTGCTTGGTGACTTCTTCTTTGATTCTCAGACTCAAATCAAGCTTGTATTTTCTAGGCTTCTTCTTGACTGGTGGTTTTGTAGGATCGGTGGGCAGTCGATGTGATACAATGTCAGTACTAAACCTAGGCATTTCATCATACGACCAAACAAATACGTCAATGTACTATTGGAGTAGCTCTACCAATTCTTTCTTCTGTCCTGCCTCCTGGTGGATGCTGATTCGAGTTTCCTTTACGTCTTCTTCATTTCCTAGGTTAATCACCTCTGTCTCCTCGAGGTTGGGCTTTTTCTGGCTTTCTAACTGTTCAATATCCTGCGGTAGATTCTCGGGTATCATACTCTCATCATGTTCCTAGTAATCTGACTCATTTTGTTCAAGGGTTTAGTTACATGTCATAATCGTAGAAAGCGGGTTTTTATTAATTTGATCAGTTGTCGATGATTTCTTCTTCTTGTAGTGAACTCTGACCCGGACTCGGAACATGCTCTGGCAAAAAACTTTTCTTCCAAAGGCTAATGTTGTGGACTCCTCCAATTGTAGGCTGGTATCCTAAGCCAGTGGTACCCTTCTATTTCTTGACAATCCTATTCGAATTTCATTCATTGATGGAGGGTGGAAGGAACTGGCCTTTCCATGTGTATCTATAGCCTTCCCGATAGCAAGTTGTAAGAAGATGAGATATCCATCACTTGGAATAACACCAGGAACTCTATGGGTCTAACTTGCAGAGCTAGATAAATTTCCCCAATAATGTTTTTCTGCGGCCCATCAAAATCCCTTCCTGATAGCAAGTTGTAAGAAGACGAGATATCCATCACTTGGAATAACACCGGGAACTCTATGGGTCTAACTTGCAGAGCTAGAAAAATTTCCTCGATAATGTCTTTTTGCAACCCATCAAAAGACCTTACACTTATATGGCTTTCTTTGACCTCTATTATATGGATACCTAATTCTCGCAAAGTGAAGATCGGGCAAATATTCACTCCGGATCCCTCGTCAACCAGTACTCGAGATATGACCTTGTCTCCACACTTGACTGTGATGTGTAGAGCTCTGTTGTGATCCACTTCCGAAAAGAGATCTTATTTGCCTCCACCATCTTCCCAATAGCTGCTGCCAGTGCCTCGCTGGTGGTATTACCTGGCACGCTTACTCTACTTAATACTTATACTAAAGTGTCCTTGTGACTCTCAGAACTCATCGACAAATCCATGATTGATATATGGGCAATGGTCTTTCTAAGTTGTTCTTCGATAGAGTACTCCTTAACTGGCATCTTCCTCAAGAACTCTACCGCACCTGCATCAGTTATATTCCTCCTCTGGTTCTGTGATGGTAGGTTAGAAACCCGTATTTTAGCCGTAGTATTGCACTCTAATTACTGCATTTTACGTGTGTTTGAGCTTAATTGATAGTAAATTATACTTATTACATACTTTATGTCTTATAGGAAATGATTCTAAGCTGATTAGGTAATTTGGAGCAAAATCGAACAAGTTGGAGCTGTGAAGTCTGAGTAGAAGCCCATGAAATTAAGCCGGGATCACGTTCGGTGGTCGAGGACCAAGTCCGAATATCAAAAAGTGAACACATGAATTTACTTTGAGAAAAATCCACTACCGCATTGCATGGGGAGCGGCGAGGCACGGCGCGGCAGTGCAAAAGTGATCTAACAAGAAAAGTGCAAGCTCTCTGGATATCCTCACTAGGGCGCCGCATGAGGCAGCGCGGCTGTGCAAAATTATCAGAGTGATTTCCAAATTCGGCTAGGAAAGGGTAGTTTCATCCGGGCTTGTTTCTACATGGTATAAATACACCAAAACATGAATTTGGAGGCACTTTTGATCTACGGGAGATTGCAGAACCAACCAAGGCAAGAAGACTCAAGAATTTATCAATATTACAACCTGCAATCGGTGCAATATGGGAGTTTGTATCAAATCATTAGAATTGATGTTTTCTTTGTCCTTCAACTTATTTGAGATGTATTACTTATGGAGTAATTTCCATTAGGGTGTTGACAGATATGGTGTTTCGATAACTTGATTAGGGATTCGATTCTTGACAATTGTTAGAATTAATTGATGGAGCTTTAATTTGCATTATGAGTTATTTATTGTTTTGCTTAATCGAAAGAGGAGTTCGATATTGAATTTCTTCACATCTTATGCTCTAGTTTAAATTCGTGATTCAAATAGGTAATCGAAAGATCCTCTTGAATTGTCAATCAAACTAGAAAATAGGGAAATATTCATGAGAAGTTACCCTTTAAATCATAACCATCATTTGATTATTGCAATTGTTTACCGTGCTTCAATTAGATTAATTACTGAATTAATGTTTTCGAAAGAGGAATATTAATTTCAAGTGCAATCTCGTTATCGGTTGAATTTGTGAGAATCAACCGTATTATAGAGTGAATTAACTCATGAATTGGATCCCGAGTCAGTTATCTTTCACCTATATAGTCACATACCCTTATCCCTCTCATTGATATTTCTTTGTTGCTCATCTGCTGTCTTTTGTGATCAATTGTTATTTGCTTAATATTTAGTAGTTAATCATAATAACAGTTATCAAATCAAGTGTTAATTTTCCTGGATAGTAATCAACTGGAGATTATTAGAACATTGTTTAAATCCAATCCCTATGGAGACGATAAGTAATCTATACTATCTTTGACTAGCGAGCAATAATTTTGTGTTGTGTTTTGCGCTCGTCAAATTTTGGTGCCATTGCCGGGGATTGGCAATCAATAGTGTTTAAAATAGTTTTTACTATAATTCAGGAACCAATTTTTACTTTAGTTATTCATGTTTCTTACTTGTGTGTGTATGACTCGATCTTCTTCAAAGGAAGTGATACCCTACGAACCAGAGTTGGAGAAACACCTGCGACAACTGAGAAAAGAAAGAGAATTAACAGAAAATTTCTTAGTTCAAACATCGACTCAAGATAACATGGCAAAGAAAGAGAACGATGGAGTAGACTTAGCTGCACGAGAGGCAGCACAACAAGAAGCAGCCCAGAGAATTGCTGGTGACACTGTCAACGATGATGGGGGTCGAAGATTCAATCTAAACCGACCCTTGGTTGAAGACCAGTTCGAGAATGCAGCACCCAGGCCTGGAAGATCATTGGATGACTATGCTAGGCTAGTATATAATCAAGGACTGTCAAGTGTCAGATCCCCGCCCATAGAAGCAAACAACTTTGAATTGAAGCAAGGCTTGCTTCAAACTATCCAACTGCACTTTCAGAGGGAAGGTGAACATAGATCCTAATAGTCACTTGATGGACTTTGAATATATCATGAACACCTTCCAATACAATGGAGTATCAAAGGATGCAGTTTACTTAAGGGCATTCCCCTTTTCATTGAAAGATGAAGTGAATCAATGGCTTCATAGCTTACCTATAGGTTCTATCAAGACATGGGAAGATATAACCAAGAAGTTTCTTGACAAGTACTTCTCAGCTGCAAAAACACGAAAGTTTAGAAGGAAAATCCACAATTTCTGCCAGAAGGAGACAGAAATGGTTTTTGAAGCTTGGGAACGATTCAAGGATATAATTAGAAAATGTCAGCACAATGGAATTAATTTGTGGATGCAACTTTAGGATTTTTGGAATTAATTTGGTATGGACTGACACCGTCCTCGCGACGAACTCTGAATACTGCATGTAGAGGATGCTAGTCAGTTGCCGGCTGAGAGTAATGATAGAAGAAAATCAGTTGAGGTTCACCAGGTGGACTCTAACGCATCCATGCAAGCCCATCTAGACACCATGGCCAAGGAGATAAAAAAGCAGACATTGACCAAGGTAGAGAATGAGCCGCAAACAGCATGTGACTTTTGTGGATTGGTACACCCTACACATGAGTAGTATGGAAGATCTCATGAAGGAATTCATCAACAAATCAGATGAAAAATTTAAGACTCAGGGAACAACTATCCGAGAGTAGGGCGCAGCCATTCGAGAGCAGGGCATGGCCATCCGGAATTTAGAAAGATAATTGGCACAGATTGCAAATTTGTTATCAAAGATGGCTCCTGGGACTTTGCCCTCTAACACTAAAAAGAATCCAAAGGAAACAATCAAAGTTGTATCTCTCATAAGTGGCAAAACATTGGCTGATCCAGTGGTGAAATCTAAGACCCGAGGTGGTGAACAAGTAGGCAGAGACACCAGTAGAGAAAAAAGGTTAAGAGCAGAAAGACCAGAGTAGTGGGATACAAAAGGAGATTGAAGAAAGTATACATATGCTACCATTCCCTCAAAAGATAAAGTGGGAAAAACTTGACAAATGTTTTGGGCGATTCTTGAAAATGCTCAAACAATTCTATATGAACATTCCCTTCACAAAGGTACTTACTCAGATGCCTTCTTATGCAAAGTTCATGAAGAAAATCTTGTCTAGCAAGAGAAAACTGGAGGTGACAATCATGGTCAAGCTGAATGCCCACTGCAATGCCATATTACAAAATACAATTCCCCAAAAGTGTGGGGATCCAGGAAGCTTCACCATACCATTCTCGTTGGGGAGTGAAAAAATCGATAAGGCCCTCTGTGACTCTGGTGAGTCTATAAATCTATTGCCTCTGTCTGTATTCAGGAAACTGGAAGGTGAGCTTGGAGTGATTAAATCAATACCAGTATCCATACAACTGGCTGACCAGACCACCATTTTACCTGAGAGGATCATTGAGGATATTCTAGTGTGGGTGGACAAATTTGTGTTCCCTGTAGACTTTACTGTGGTAGATATGGAGGTGAACAAGGAAATGCCTCTAATTCTAGGGAGTCCATTCTTATGTACAGGCAAAGCTATCCTTGATATCTATGAAGGGCAACTTATGCTCAGAGTGGGCAACGAAAAAGTGGTGTTCCAGATGAAAAGAATGATAAAATACCCTAATGATGTGGCGTCCGACTACTCGTGTTTCAAGATGGATGTTGTTGGAAAATTGGCTGAAAAATACAAGTTTGACAAGATTATGGGGGATACTCTCGAGAGGTGTATTACTCAGTCTAGCACAGTGGAGGATGAAGATCCTAAAATAAAGAAAGATGTTGAAGCTCTTGAAACTGAGGATCAAGTGGTTGATGAGGAGGAATTAAAAGAGGAGGCTTCTAAGCCTAATATGGAATTGAATGGCCTCCCCACTCACTTAAAATATGCTTTTCTTGAAACTAACAATTTTCCCGTGATTATTTTTGCTGACTTGACAGGTACACATGAGCGACAGCTGGTGAAGCTGCTGAAGAAGCACAAGAAGGCCATTGGCTATAGTATAGTTGATATTCAATGAATCAGTTCAGCCATTTGCATGCACAAAATTTTGTTGGAATAAAATAGCAAACCGGTGGTGCAGCCCCAACACAAGCTGAACAAAAATTTGGAGGAGGTAGTGCACAAGGAGATCATCGAATTTCAAGATGCAGGAGTGATCTTTCCCATGACAGTGAATGAAGATAATGAAAGGGGGGCATGATAGTGGTGAAAAATGAAGATAATGAATTGATCCCCATAAGAACAGTCACTAGGTGGAGAATGTGCATTGATTGTAGAAGGGTGAATGATGCAACAAGGAAGGACCACTTCCCACTCCCCTTTATTAATCAAATGCTAGAGAAAGTGGCTGGACATAGATGCTACTGCTTCTTGGATGGGTACTCAGGCTACAATCAGATGCCCATTGCCCCAGAAAATATTGAGAAGACCACATTCACTTGCCCGTCAGGTATTTTTGTTTACAGGAGGATGTCGTTTGGGTTGTGTAATGCACCTGCCACTTTTCAGAGGTGCATGATGTCTATATTCTCTGATTTGAATGGGAAGTGTCTATAAGTATTCATGGATAATTTCACCCTCTTTGGTGATGACTTTGAGGACTGCTTGAAGAATATGGAGCTCGTGCTTGAACGTTGTGAAGCCACGCACTTGGTTCTTAACTAGGAGAAATGTCACTTCATGGTGAAAGAGGGAATTGTCTTGGGCCACAAAGTAACTGCACATGGAATTAAAGTTGACAGAGCCAAGGTGGATGTAATTGCTAGGCTCCCTCCACCAACTTCTGTGAAGAGCATAAGTAGTTTCTTGGGACATGTTGGGTTCTATAGGAGGTTCATCAAAAAATTCTCCGGCATTACCAAACCGTTGACTGCATTGCTAGCAAAAGATGTCAAGTTTGTTTTCACACACAAAACAGGAACCCCGTACCATTCCCAAACTAGTGGGCAAGTTAAAGTGGCCAAACGTGAACTTAAACGAATTCTTCAAAAGACGGTTAGTGCTTCTCGTAAGGATTGGTCTGTAAAGTTAGATGAAGCTCTACGGGCATATAGAACTGCACTTAAAACAACCATAGGGACTTCACCATTCAAATTAGTGTATGGAAAATCATGTCATCTACCTGTTGAGATAGAACATAAAGCTTATTGGGCAATTAAGATGCTTAATCTTGATCATAGTCTTGCAGGTAAACACAGGTTGGCGCAGCTGAATGAATTGGAGGAGTTTAGACTGGACGCATATGAAAATACGCGAATCTTTAAGGAAAAGACAAAGCGGTGGCATGATCATCTAGTTAGGCCAAAGGAGTTTCGTTAAGGGGACAAAGTCTTACTATACAATAGTAGACTTAGGTTGTTCCTCGAAAAATTCAAATCAAGATGGACAGGTTCGTATGTGGTGAAACACATCTCACCGTATGGCGCCATTGAAATACAGGATGAAGAAGGGAATGAAAGTTTTAAGGTGAATGGGCACAAGTTGAAACAGTACCTTGTTGGAGGATTTGACAAGCAATCCTCCAGCATCGTGATCAAATGAGCCTAAGTGACGGAGTCAAGCTAACGACTATAACTCAGAACTACTTTGAACCCCATTTATTGCTTTTGTAGACTAGTTAGATAATGGTAATTTAGGATTATTAGAGTTTAGGAGTTTTGGTAATTGTTTTAACAAGTATGAGCATGAATCGAACACAAAATAAGTACAAAATAGAGTCGGGGTGCGACCTGTAGGCTATAAAGTGAAAACAAATCGGGACTCTGAGAAAATTGTCCTACCGCGCCGCATGAGGCGCCGCGCTAGGTCAAACGGGAAAAATCTATCAGAGATGGCTATCTGGAAAACCCCACTACTGCGCCTCATGGGGCGCCGTGCCCAGCGATGCAGTACTGTAAAATTTTTGGCCTTTAATTTTTAAAAAAAATTAAAATCCGATTTTGAAAAAAACGGGGCAGACTACTCCCCCCCCCCCTTTTCTACACTTTCCACCATAACTCTCATTCTCTCTCAAACCCCTCCTCTCTAACTCACCCCCAAATCCCCCATTATTCTTCAAGGTTCTTCACCTACAATCCTCCCACTTCCATAACTCATCAAGGTAAGTTTTCTTTTCTCCTCTCTTCTCTTTTATTAGTAATTAAGGTAGCTTAGTTCATATCTCTAACCCTAGGTAGTGTTTCAATTTTCATTTTGGTTAATATTCATCTCTTGGCCGAAATGTTTGCATAGGCTTGTGGGATTTTCATTGTTCTTATAATTGTGGGTGATTGTTGGTGTGTTTTGACGCTGTTGGAATTAATTTATGTTGAAGCTTGGTGGGGGTGCCCAAGTGGCCAAAAATTGGTGAAGTTTTGTGTAAAATTATGCACTTTGTGCTATTGGGAAGATGTGGTGATGTTGTGGTTGTGGTGAGTGGTGTTTTTGATATGGTTGTATGATGATTCTAACCCACTTTGAATTAAAAGAAGAAGGTGAAAGGTATGCCCACAATGTATTTGTTGAAATGCCTTAGTGACATAAAATTGTGTAGTGTTGCTAATTTTGAAGGGAAGTACTTTGTGGGATGTGATGCTAGATGATAAGTGTGGAGTGAAAGGTCATGTTCGTATGTTGTGAAACATTAATTTGTTAGCCCCGAGTGCTAATTGATTGACCACCCCATACTAATATGTTGCTAGATGCTAAATGGGGTGCCCGATTCATGTTAAATACTTGTGTAGTGTTGTATTGTATCGTAAATTTTGTTAGTAGTGGATTAGACTAATGTCTTATGCTTCTTTTCTTAATTACTAGTTTAGCTTCTTAATTTTGTCTTTTACACAAGTGTAGTCAGTGGTTATGTTGTTGTAAGGTTATGTTGGTGGTCGGGTGGATTGTTGATTACTTGTGGTGTGCTTTCAATGGGGTAGTTTGAGTCCCCGATATACATTGTACTTGTGAACATGCCAATAACATAAGTGTGGGGTGGTTACCCCGTTTGGTATTGTTTTTTTTATTTTCAGTGTTGTGGCTAATGTTGTCCGTTTTGTGCAGGTACAATGTCTCGCCGTCCTAGCAAATGTTCTAACACATGTACCCTAGAGGTTGCCTCTAGTAGCCATCGAGGAGGTAGGCGGGCACCTTCCCTACCCCAGTGGAGGAGGAAGAGGAGCGCATTGATCTTGATGTGGATGTAGTACCAGGCTGCAAGTATGGCATTCAAGCTGTGCCAGCTCATGCTCGGATGTGGTACCGGACCCTTGTTCTGGCAGTGAGTCCCGACCCAGAAGTTGGCATTGATGATAGTAAACTAGCCAAGAAATACTCGGGGATTTACAACAACATCAGATACATGGATTTTGAAAGCTTGTTCTGTCCCGGTGAGTCGGTGAATGTAAACATGGTTAAGGCGTTTTATGCTAACTGGCAACCTGAGGCCAGTTTAGATGCATTGTATGAAGTGGAGGTGCGAGGCAAGATGATTCAATTTTCTTCCCAGGTAATAAATCAGATCATGGGATTCACGGAGCATTCGTATAAGTTGTTCTTGAGGTTGCTGCATTGGCCCCCTATCCTGATATTAGATGCTAGATGTGTGGCGCGGGGTCTCTTGCCACATGGATGCGAGATGCTAATGAGTTCCACAAGGACATGAAGAAGTGACATTTCCAGCATCCCGCCAGAGTCGTTCTTCGTTTGATTAATGCAAAGATCATGCCTACATAAAACAACACTGATGTCTCCTGGTTAAAGGTGTGTCTCATATATGCTATCTTGACTAGGATGAAGTTTGATCAGGGTAAGATTATGCTTGAGCACATGTCTCGAGTATGACCACTTGGAGCCCGCCGCCTATATTTCCCGAGTATGATCACGCGTCTTCTGAGGACCCATCATGTTGAGAAGGAGTTCCATTAGGATCGGGAGATTCCAGTTTTGTGGCCTCTAAAGCCTTTTGATGTCACAGTTGTGACAGACCCCCCTTCCCGCCACTGATGTTATTCCTGTAGATTAGAGATTTGTTCATGTTGAGGAGACACTGCAGCTACTATTTGCTTATATGCGCCTTCGTGCTGCTCGAGGGCAGGTTGACTTGGCAGAGCTATAGGAGGACCACCCCCTCTCTGCGGTCACGCAACAGTGGTTGGGCTTAGTCGCTGGATTACAGATGCCACCAGATGAGGACGCAAACTCTGCTCCCTCTGATGATGAAGAGTACTTGCGCACCTTTGAGGGTGTTGATGAGGAGTAGGCCACGGGCCCCAGGGAGTTACCTTTTCACTCTTGTTTTACTGTTTTTCATTGGGGACAATGCAATTTCTTAAGTGTGGGGTGCTCCTATTGGATTGTATTTGTATTTGTTTTCTATTAGCCAGTTGGTTTTGTTTGATTTGTTTCTTGCTTTCTAAGACAATATGGTGTGTAATCATAACTCTGAATTCTAACGGCCTATAATAGTTAGTAATTTATTGTTTAGTTTTGACTCTTCCCGACGATGGATTTCGTCGACCGACTTCTTGAGGGATTTGAAGTCGAACGAGAAAAATACCAAAAAAAAAAAAAAAAAAAAAC